AATACTGTAGCTAGAAACCTGCGATGTGGTCCCCTATGGCCACCCATTTCCTGGTATTTCAGCTCTTATGTATTCTCCTCGCCTTGATTATAGGCCGGATCTAGGGACACGCATGTGACACTAGGATATAGCACAAATGATGTCTCTTGAGAGATGACTCTCATCAGAGATTGCCTCTGATGAAAGTTAGCTACCATGTTGTCACTGTTGCCCAGAATGGCACACTGTTCTGGAAGCTGAGGAGGCTTCTGTCCAATAGCCAGCAAAAAAAAAAATAAAAAACCAACAAAAAAAAAAAAAACTAAAAACTAGGCCCTACTGAGGACCTAGTGGCACAGCGGGTTAAAGCACAGCACTGAGAAGCTAAAGCCACTGCTGCGTGAGTTCAATCCCCGCCCTAGAGGTGATCCTCATGGCTCAGCAGGCCTCTTCTGAACCGCCCGCTGCTCCCCTCGGTAGTGTACTTTGTCAGTTGACCTGTTCTGCTCCCCACTCTGTCTCTGGTGAAGCCTCTCACCACCCCTGCACCTCTGGCCCTTAACCCAGTTCTGTATGCATAAATAAATAAATCTTAAAAAAAAAATAAACTAAGGTCGTCAGTGCAACTGCACACTAGGTAGGCATCGAATCCTGTCAAAAACCACGTGCATGAGTTTGGACAAGTATCTTCCTTAAGTCAAGGCCTCAGATGAGATCTTAACTCTGACCAATAAGTGGCATATAACTTTGTAAAATATCTTGATCCAGAGGCACACAACTTGTCATACCCAGAATCCCAACTCACAGAAACTGTGAGATAATACATGTTTTGTTGTTGTTGTTCTTAGCTGATACATTTGGGGATGAAGCCAAAAAGTTTTACTAAGACTTGTCAAATAATTATTCAATACACTTAAATCTTTTCATTGAAGGCACTTTGTTTAGCAAACAAAACATGACATGGAAAACACAGATTTCATTAATTTTAATACACTCTTACCAGTAGAACATTTTCTATATATTTTTGCCTTATATGTTTTATGTAATTATAATTTTACCAAATTAGTATGTTTACCAAAACTTTATCAAAACAGAATTAGCAAATTTATAAAAACAAATCTATCATATAGCCTAACTGGGAAAACTGTCATCATGTGCAATCATTTAACTAAATCATATTTGTTTGCTCTTAAAAAGAATGACTACCTTTTTCCACGGAACAAATGTCAATATCAATCCCTTAATGATCAGTACATTTTTAAATTCTAACTCTAGGATGTACAGACAGAAGAAAGGTTAAGAGAAGGGAGAGGGAAGAAAGGAGAGACTGATAGAGTGCAAACCTGTTCTGAATTTGTCATCTGGATGAACATAGAGTTGTATATATCATATAGTGGTATTTTGTGTGTGTGTGTGCTTTTTTTTTCACAGAATTTGACCTCAGGAATTGATATATTATTTAATAATAGCTGAGGAAGGGAGATATGAGGTGATTAAAATTGTCATCACTCCTGCTATCCCACTGTAAATTATCCCAATAGCCCAGTATCAGGCAAAACAATTGTTTCTAATGCCAACATTTATCCTTAATAGAGATGTGTATAAGGCATGAAGCAGTGTGAACCCCTACTGTGAATGCATGATACATTGATCAAAGATGTATTCTTAATATTTTAGTGGCATAAAACTTTTTGACTGACTTGTGAAGCCCATGAATCCTGAATTTAGAATAATCACTTAAATGTATTGAATAGGGAGTTAGAAAAAAACAATTGTATAAAATCAGCATAGTTTTCTTTTTCGGAAATTGAAAGCTGTACATCAATTCATATAGAAATACGAGACCCTGAGGATTTATACTTCACAATTTCAAATTTACTATGAACATATAGTAACCAAACCAGTATGGTACTGGCATAAGAACAGAGAAATAGAATGGCATTGAGGGTCCAGAATAAAGCTTCTTTTGAAATGGTCAATTGAGTTTCAGACAATGGTATCAAGACAATTTAATGAAGAAAGATTAGTCTTTTCAACAAATGGTGTTGGAATCTCAGATATCTACATGCAAAACAATGAAGTAGGACTGCCTCATTCCACACACAAAAATTAACTCTAAATGAATCACAGACCTAAGTGTAAAAGATAAATTATATAACTCTGAGAACAAAACATAAGAGCAAATCTTTGTGACCCTGGATTAGCAATGGCTTTATATATGTGACACCAAAAGCAGAAGTGATAAAATATTCATAAATTATCTTTTACCCAAATTAAAGCTTTATGCTTCAAAGTATTCCATAAAAAATGTAATTTTTGAAAAAGCAAGAGAAAGTGGTAAGATAGACAACCTATAGGATGGGAGGGAATATTTGCAAATCATAGCTCTAATAAGAGATTAGTTCAGACTAGGCAAAGAACATAAAACTCAGTAATATAAAGACAAACAGCCCAATTTTTAAAATATTTTATTTTATTTAACTGAGATCACCTTGGCTTTCAACACTCTATATGATTTAGAGGTAGAGTCTCACACCCTTCAGTTGATGTCACCATACCACAACCACCACCAATGCATCTCCTCTACCACTGTCCACAATGCCCCCTCTCCCAGCCCCTCACTTCAGTAGTTCTTAATTGTTTTGGATACACACACTCTCTTGCCAAAAAAAAAAAAAAAAAAAAAAAAAAAAAACAGAAAAATGCAAAGCACACAATATCATACATACAATTTTAATAGACTCACTGACTCCATTAACTTGATCCATGGGATCAGACATAAAGTTCTCTATTCTACTAGATGTCATGAACTCACTCTGTCTGCCCACCAAAGTGTTAGCTGAGCACTGCTAATTTAGAGAATAAATGAAAACTTTCATGAAATGTCTGAAAGCCAAGGATCAATTTCTAGGATTCATTAACAGATTGAATATTCACTCAATACCCAATCTCTACCTGCAACCTACAACTCTCCTTTTAGAGATCCCCTGTGCTTGTAATGAGATTTTCACTTTCTTCCTTAACACTGTACACTTCTGACAGTGGAGATTATATTGTTTCCACATTCTAGAACCCACTCTCCTCCAGAGTGTCTGTAACAATGGCTCCAATGGGGAAAAAAGTCTCTACAGATGCATTCGATTTCTTTTGTCAGAACAACTAAAACTTTATAACTGATTCAGGCTGTTTCCTTTTCTTTATTTAACTGCCAAGAAGCTTTGTGTCAAATTTAGTGTCCAACACATTTAAGAACTAATATTTAAGACTGCTTTATTCTTTTTTAAAAAAAGATTTATTTATTTATGCATACAGAACTGGGGTACAAGCCAGAGGTGCAGGGGTGGTGAGAGGATTCACCAGAGACAGAGTAGGGAGCAGAACAGGCAGATTGTTGAAGTACACTGCTGAGGAGAGCAGTGGGCGGGTCAGGAGAGGTCTGTGGGATCACCTCTGGGGCAGGCGGGGATTGAACTCATGCGGAAGTGGCTTCAGCTTCTTAGTGCTGTGCTTTAACCCGCTGCGCCACCAGGGAGGGCCCAAGTCTGTTTTATTCTTGTATAAATATCTATATATGTTTCTTATTGCTACTGTAGCAAATTGCCATAATTCAAAGTCTTGAAAACAGAAATTTATCATTTTATTCTTTGAGTGTGTTTGTCTTGACTATGATGGTGGTTTTACAGGTATAAACACTTTTCAAAACTCCTAGAATATTTAAAATGGGTGAGTTTTATTCTGTTTAGATCACACCTCAAGAAAATTTACTGCTTAAAAAATAAAATCACCCAGTACAAATTATCATTTAAGAAATAAGTTCTTATCACAAGAAAAAAAAATTTCTAACTGTGTATGGTAGTGTATGTTAACTAGGCTGTTTTGATGATAGTTGGCAAAAGATGCAACTATTGCACCATTATGTTGTATACCTGAAACAAATGTAGGTTAGTTACATCTCAATGAAAAGTAAATGAAAAACAACCACTGCTGATAATTTAGTATGTGCTTATCTAGAACATGGAAGCAAACAATATAAAGAATTTTTCAGCTACATTTATAATAGGTAAGATATGGAAACAATCCAAACGACCAAAATTAGATTAGATGACTGGATCAAGAAGATGTGGTATATATACACAATTGAATACTACTCAGTAATCAAAAAGATAAACTCATGCCATTCGCAGCATCATGGATGGAGCTAGAAACAACTATACTCAGTGAAATAAGTCAGAAGGAAAAAGAAAAATATTGTATGGTTTCACTTATAGGAGGAATATATGGGAATCAAATAAGGGATCGGGGGAAATTAATAACAATAAAAACAAAATGAAATTAACAGGCAACTATAAATCAGAGACACTGCAGGGGAGAAGGATCAAAACAGTAGGGAAGAGCACAAGGGATTATGGTGATGGTGCATGGGTGAACTGGTGGTAGGAACTTATGAGGACTATACCTGAGAGGACAAAGTAAATATTGTACAAAAATGAGCAATGATGTAATATATATATATATATAAAAATTCATAAATTATATTAAAATAATTTTTCAGCTAAGTAAATGGGATCATTATACACAGCATGTATTGTACTTTATGTTGCTTTTTTCACATAGAGGTCTTGGATGTCATGTATGCATATATGGACAAATGCATTTACACATCTATTTGTTCCTAGATAAATATTGATAGAGCTACTATATTTTTAATATGCTGTGAGCCATTTTGTGGATGTAATACCATTTCTTTAACCTTTCACCCACTGTTGGTTTTTTAGATTGTTGCCAATTGTCTTGCTATTATAAACTATGGTGCTCCAGTTAACAGCCTTAGACACACATCTTTTTGCAAGTATATTGCTAAAATAAATTTATTTAAGTAAGATTTCTGGGTTAGAATGTATGTGTCATTTGAGTTGTATAGCTACTGACTGGTTACCCACAATGGAAGCAAGTAGAATTTGTAGAAAGGGTGCATTCTGTATTTTCCCATTCTGAATGCCTGGAGTTCTTCTCTTTCATAGGATCATGCAGATATTGAGTGGAAGTTTGCAAGGACGAAGCTCTGGATGAGTTATTTTGATGAAGGTGGCACCTTGCCACCTCCTTTCAACATCATCCCTAGTCCAAAATCATTTCTATACCTCGGTAACTGGTTCAACAACACTTTCTGCCCCAAAAGAGACCCTGATGGGAGACGGAGAAGGCACAATTTGAGAAGCTTCACAGTAAGGCCTTTAAAATCTGTGTTTCTAACCTCTCTCTCTCTTGATCTCTATCTTTTATTGGATTATACTATTTTTTAAAATATATTAATGATTTTAGAAGTGACGTATTTCAACATTGCAGTATAAAAACTAATTCTAAAAGTTAAGGGTTTTTTCAGGTAGCATTGATTTACAACACTGTATATACTTTAGATATAGGATCACACAAAACTGTTTCCTACCTTTCCTCCATGATGACATTCCCTTTCTTAAACATCACAAAATAACTCCAGCCTACAGATACTTTGTGGGTGGAGGGGGAGTGTTGTCAGGAAGGATCTCCTATGTCATTTTCTAGCCACAATATTTATCAAGCTACTCAGGTTGGGTACTGAAAGACTGCTGAGGTCACTTCCTTGTGCATTTTCAATTACAGGAACGCCATGCGGATAGCCTGATACAGAATCAACATTACCAGGTAAGACTTTCTTGCCAAAACTAAACATAGCAATTCCTCGCCAAATGTGTGACCTTGGACAAGTCACCAAACACAACTGAGTTTCCATCTCCTCTGTCAAACGAGGATGGTAACTCAGAGATGTTGAGAATTGAGTGGTTGAGTGATTATATATGACTGGATGTGTGTTCTCTGGCACAGTACCTGACACTTGACATTGAGTGGCAGATCACCATTAGGAATACAAAAAGTAATGGCAGTGGGGGTGACGTTCCCCAGAGCCTCAGTAGCAGAAGACACCATGGGAAAGGAGTGTAAATTGACTCTGAAAAATAGTTTGACCATGTAATTACATGACACTGAAATCAGCAGACTCAGTGACTCTGAAGAATGACTTTCTTGGCTTTATAAACTGAAGGAAAACTGTCATCTTACTAGGAGACTTAAAGTTTAATCCAGCCTTAAGGCAAAGAATATTGACTATGAGCATTCAAGGAGTTTTACACTCTCATTATTCTATAAATGTGAATCCATTTACCTTTTGCTTAAGAGGAAATTTTTCCTTTTGGGTAAATTTGACTATATATAACCCACACTGCCACCAAATTCAGACACATAATAACTCCTTATTCCGCCAATGGACTTAACTGGGTTCTTGCAGGGAATGGCTGGATCCTGTGAGGATTTTCTTTGACAAAGATGGTCTCAGCATGTTTTATTTCCTGTGTGTTTCTCATTTTACCGAGAGTCTCAGAAAGAAACTGAATATCTTTTTATGTGTGTGTGTTTTTTTTTAATTCTAGGAAGTTATTAGGAATTTAGTCAAAAGATATGTGGCTGCTATGATAAGAAATTCCAAAACAAATGAGGGACTGACGGAAGAAAATTTTAAGGTAATTAAATCATAAGGTGGTTTCTCAATTCACATTTCTTAAACTTCACAGTCTTGGGTGTTTGAGTTGTCTGGTGATAGAATTTCAGTGGCCTACAATACAATAAAACAAGCTACCATTCTGATTCTCGCTCACTAAGTAGATGGGGAAATTTTACCAATGTCTGTCACCACAATCAGCTTCATGAACAAAAGAAACCTGTCCTCTGTATTCTTTCAATATTCTGGATTCTGCATGCTTCTCAGTGTGGAATTGAGTGTTTTAAATGATGTAGTGAGGGTCAAGAGACCAAAGGAATATGCCTGGAGAGGTCAAGTTCTTCTTATAATATGTAAGATGAAGGCCAACAATATTTATTATTAAATCTAATATTTAAGAAACCCTACCATCAACAGTAATCTTAAGCAGTTGTTCTCAACCAGGGGCAGTTTTAATTTTGAGAGCACATCTGACAATGCCTCAGGATATTTTTGCTTGCCTTATTGAGATGTGTGTGCTATTGGCATCTAGTGGGTAAAGACTGGAGTTGCTATTAAAATATCCTTGCAATGCACAAAACAAGTCCCCACAACAAAGAACGATCTAGCTAAACCTGTCAATTGGCTGAAAATTTTTATTGCTAATATATTTTTCTTGTACTGAAAGAACATGAAACTTTTCTGAGCGCTTGTGTACTTTATAATTTTCATTAAGCAAAACCTGGACTAAGCCAAAGGATGCCCAATGTGTGTATTCTGAGCTACAACCTAGTCCCTTAACATGTGTCTTCTCTCTTGCCCCAGGAACTAAGGCAGCTTTAAGAAAGCTACTCTCCCAGTTCACAGACATAATTCATCAATTGAGAACCTTCCATGCTTCATACACTAAGCTAGGGGACAGAGTTGAACGAGACAGTCATTTGTACTTTTGTGGAATGATAGACAAACACTAGCAAGATACAATGTTCATGATTGAGTACTCTAACAGGATAAACTCAAGGGTGCAGTAGAGATGCAGAGAGGAGGGAAACTCAACTGGGACTTGAGAGTTATCACAGGATTTCCAAAGGAAGTGCTATTTAAGTCATGCGAAGGGTGGAGCCAGAAAAAGAGTTAGAAAGAAGAGTGTTCTAGACAGACAGAACAATTAAAGGCAAGATATGCCCATACGGGTAGACTGGAGAGAACCTTTGGAAAGCGTGAGAAGAGATACAATGGGTGCGATTGACAGATCCTAGGTTTGGAAAAATCTTATAGCTCATGGTATGGCATTTCTACGTTGTCCTAAGGCAACGACAAGTTATTAAAGAGTTTTCATCAGGGATGAGCCATGATCAGATTTAAGTTGTTAAAGGAGCAATCCAGTATCTAGGCAGACCGCTGTAGATGCAAGTTTCATGAGGCTTTGAATGAACAGCCCCCAACCCTGATCCAAAACAGTCTCATCACCTGACTTTCCACTTCTCGCTTTTATCTCTCAGACTCCTAAGATCATTTCCTCCACAGCAGTCCTTTCATATGTATGCTTCTGCAAAAGCCAGTGCACTCGTGGGAATGAAGTTATTGGTGTGCTCCTAATGGGGGCTATGCACTCATCAACTGGCATATTTTTTCCAGCGGCTAGCCCTGCCAACCGAACCATTAATATGCTTTTTCTGAATGGAAGGAATGGGAAGCTTTTCTGGGAGCTTGAGTATATTGCGATTTGTCAGCAGGGAAAAACTGGAATAAGTCAGAAGACACCTAGTGTGCATATTTTGAGCTACAAATAGGTCTGTTAACATGGGTCTTCTTTCTTGCCCCAGGAACTGAAGCAGGACATCTCCAGTTTTCGATATGAAGTGCTTGACCTATTAGGAAATAGGAAACACCCAAGGAGAAGCTTCTCCACTAGCAGCACTGAACTCTCTCAGAGGGATGATACCAATGATGGCAGTGGTGGGGCTCGGGCCAAATCCAAGAGTGTCTCTTTCAATTTAGGCTGCAAGAAAAAAACCTGCCACGGGCCACCGCTCATCAGAACCATGCCAAGGGCCAGTGGTGCCCAAGGGAAGTCAAAAGCTGAGTCATCAAGCAAACGCTCCTTCATGGGTCCTTCTCTCAAGAAACTGGGTCTCCTGTTCTCCAAGTTCAATGGTCATATGTCTGAACCCAGCTCAGAGCCAATGTACACAATTTCTGATGGAATCGTTCAGCAGCACTATATGTGGCAGGACATCCGATATTCCCAGATGGAGAAAGGGAAAGCAGAGGCCTGTTCTCAAAGTGAAACTAACCTCAGTGAGGTAGAATTAGGGGAAGCCCGAGGCGCTGCCCAGAGCAGTGAAAGTCCACTAGCCTGTTCCAGCTCTCTTCACTGCGCATCCAGCATCTGCTCCTCAAATTCTAAACTGTTAGACTCCTCAGAGGATGTATTTGAAACTTGGGGAGAGGCTTGTGACCTGCTCATGCACAAATGGGGGGATGGACAGGAAGAACAAGTTACAACTCGGCTTTAAGTCAAGCTCCTAATACCTGTCCTTGAACTCAACTGAAAATTTGTAATTTCCTTGCTCTCAGAGATGACATAGAATATGGTTCCCTCACTGCCCCACCCTCCCCCCAAAGGAGAGTGAAACTCCTATTATTTTCACTATCTTTTATAGCCACCTTGTCCAGTTTCTGTTTTTGTTTTTTGTTCTTACTATTATTTGCCTTTTTATACCTATGAACACCAAGTCCATTTCACAACCAACCGAACAGGTGTTTACCCCTAACTAGCAGAGGTGCATCGGGTGCTTCCCCTTTGGCTTTGCTTTTCTTTCCCTGCCTCCTTGAAGCTCCAGGTGCCAACTTCGCTACTGTTGCTGCCGCGCCGCCGACTCCTGACCTTCCTCAGGATCTCACAGCATCTCCCCACAGGGCTGAGGAATGTACTCAGCAGACCCCACCAGCTATCAGATAAGGCCAACTAACCTGCCTATCTTTGTTGTCCTTCAGTGCTACACGCTGCCCATTCTGGTTCAATGAATAGACTCCCAAAGAATTGTCAGCTTGTGGTTTTTAGGTATAATTGGCTTTTTAAAAAATTTTGGTTATTTTTGTTTTCAAACACTACAGCTTCTCCTTATTGTGAGGGCTTGTTGAGTTGTTTCTTAAAAATGTGTTAGGTTCCTAGTGTGTGCCAATGAATATTTACCCCATAGTATATGTCATATCTAATAAGTTAGTGACTTCCTTTCCTGTATTTGTATATTTCAGTTAACTTATTACATTTTAAAATTTGGTAGTATTGAGGCTAGTATTTAGGATGTGTACTGTTTTTAAAGACTTCTACTGCACTCTAACCAATAGTCACCACATCTCATACATTGACAAGGAAAAATAATTAGCTGGTATCTTTATAGGGTTCTATCTACTGTGGATAGTTTTAATCATCACTGCTATCAAAAGCACTTCTAGGGTAACAGCTGGGATTTGAATATTTTTTTAATCAGGAAAAGGACATCTTGTTGAGGTGTTAAAATCAAGAAAGCGCATCTTCTCCATTTTAATAAGTGCTTTCTGGTTAAAAAAAAAAAAGATCCACAAAAAAAATTAGGTTTAGAAAACCTGATTCAGGTTGCAGTTTTACTATTCATTGGGGGCAGTGGAATTGCATGTGTAAACTTATGTTAGATATATAACATAATAACCCTAGCTAATCCATGAAATAATAAACATGATCCAAATTCTACTGTCTTCAAAGAAAGCTCCATTTATACACTCAAAAAATTCTTTGACAGAATTTGAGAACCTTGTCAGAATACAAAGATGTAGGTTAAAAAATGAAGTCAATAATGCATATTCTGATCACCACCAGAACATAACCTTCTCAGGAAGAGTGTTTTATTATCAATATTAGCCCAAAAGTATCTACCCCCAATTTGGACTCAAATACATGACCGGAAGCACCCTTAGGTCTGGGTCCTGGAGATTAAGTAAACACTGTGGAGCCCAGAAAAGCAAGAGAGTTAATCGGATGTCACCTTGTCCTTGTAAATGTCAATAGCAATAGGAATCCTTCCAGATTCACGCATATGCTTTCTGGTCAAAGTGCAATGAATCATTTTCAAACAATGTAAATGTGCCTCTGAAATAGCTTTTGACAATGTGGGTTCTGTTTGAACTGATTCCCATTTCTTGTGTAACTTTGGTGATGGATAGTCAAAATATTCCACATTAAGAAGAGGAAAATTGGGTGTGTAGGGAGGGATCAGAGGAGGGAACAGGAAGAGTTGCTAAAGAATTAGGCTCAGATCCAGTGAAGTGTTCAACAGAACAGCTTGCCTGCATGAAGAAGACTCACTTGAGAAGATCTTGCTCCCCCAAAATTCATTGATCATATCTGAAGTGATCATTTACTGAAATCCAACTTCCCTCTTGCTTCTCTAAGTGGGACTATCACAAATGGCCTTGACATCAATAACAGAAGAAAGGTTTCTTATGTTACAGATTCAATTTTTCCAAATGTCAAAATCACACTGAATAACAAATAGTATCTGGGCAACATTCCTAACTCATATTGAGGGTGCCAAAAATCAATACATGGCCCTATTTCATGAAAAGAAAAATATGTCTTTCTCACAAAGGCATGTATTTCTGATAACCTCAGTTATCAAAAAATTGTTCTTGCAGTTACTTCTCCATTTGGCAGAAAATAAGGGTACCTAGATATAGAGTCATACTCGAAAATATAGTCTCCTCTCAGTTACGTTCTATAAGCCAAGAACATGTATACACACACACATGCACATATACATATATTGGATATATGAATTAGAATATGGAAATATAGTCAAATAAATCATAGTAGCCAATCTCTACTAATGAAATGAGCCAATGTCATATTTCACATGCAAAATATTATTTTTCAGATCTTCTCAGTATTATTGCCTTTGCAAGTTGGGCTTTACACTTCACTACTTTGAGGCCTAACTTTTTATGCATTGAAGTGAGTTAACTATTGACAATTAAATCACAATTGCCCTAATTTCTATGTTGATGACACCAACATTTTGATTAAGAGTATAAACTATGAAGGGAAAAAGATTTATGCTCACCTCTCTACCCTCTCAATCAGCTACTATCAAGAAAGTATTTATAGTGGTCATCCCATTTTGGATCATTTCAAATTAAATGCTTACGCATTATGTCTTCTTACTCCAGACAAGATGAAATTTGAGGAGGAATTCATAAAAATAAAAATTTTAAGTGAAAAGGAAGTCTTACAGAAGATGTATACTCAATTCCAACCTCTTAGTTTACAAATAGGAAAAAAAAAAAAAGAGGCAAAGAAGGACAATGACTCATTTAGTTTCACAGAGCTAGTCAATAATCTCAAATCTTTTGGATCATAGAAACAAGACATTTATTAAGTAAATACACATTGAAGATGTGAAAATGGAATGACCACTATAAGTACTTTTGGTTCACTTGCCTACGATACCATGAACTTCACAGATTTCAGACTGACATATTCAAATGTAAACATCACTCCAAATATGACACAAGAAAGCTTTACCACTTGTCTATTATACCACAGTTCACCTTCACTACAGTTGGCTTCCTTATCACATCCAGACATCTGTTCTCCCTTGTTGGGTTCCATCATAAATAAAGTCTCCCTGGTAATAAAGGTAAAAGTATTACCCTCAAATCTCTGAGTTATATTATAAAATGATTCATATTAAAAAATCTCGTCCATGGCTAGCTTTAAGTCCAGTGAAGTAAAAAGACAGAAAATGTCCCAAATTGAAAATTATCATTTTGGGAAGATACCACATTTTACTAGGATATAAATGCTACAAGTTGCGCTTCTGTCCAATTACATGGGAATATTGGAAAACTTCAGTTCTTTCTGGCTTCCATAATCATTTTTCACTCCACTAGGACTTCATTAAGACCATCTTAGCTATGTTCAAAACATCTGTCTACAATATGATTAAAGAACCTTAAAGAAAACTCTAGGTCCTCCAACTTTTGAATGAGTTAGAAAAATAAATAAATACTTTTTCTATAATAACTTTTATAGGTCTTTATGGCAGTACAAATCTTCCCTGAAAATTTTACTGGGAATTTCAGTGAAAATATGAGTTCATGTAATTAGACAGAAAATATAAATAGCCATTTGATGTTCATATTACCTCGTGGGTGAGAATCAAGTGGTGCTTTGTATAACAGTTTAAATGGCCCAGACCTTAGCTTGTGAAACAATCATGTAAAAAGTACTTGAAGTTAAGCAGATATTCTTTCCTTTTTAAAGGTACATAGGAAAAACTGAGCATAATGGTTTGATAATCAAGTTTCCAAAACAGAGCTAATAAACAGAATGCTTGTATAAACACAGCCAATAGAAGTTGATGTGAATGTTCAGCTTATTTAAATAATCTCTTCAATCCTACTTGTCAGCTTTACCTCAAATCTCTTTGTATTTTAGATTGTCTTTTTGGCCTGCTTGAGCGCTATAATTTTTCCAAATATCTGCTTTGTTGGTATAGAATTAGCCACCGGAAACTGAATTAAATATGAACATAAGTACAGACATGCTATTTTTACTGTATTTCCAAATGACTTTATCAATCACTTTCTCCAAAAGATGTGGTTTGGGCTTGCATTGCTTTTGGGGGCATGTTTGTAAAGTGAGAACCTTGTCTGTGTATATGCGTGTGCACGCACACACACACACACTGAAAATTAATAGCATATGATTGCTTACGCCTTGGCCTTCATCCCACTTGGTAAATTACTGAATCATTTTGAAGTGAGGGGAAGCAAAAATAACTTTTCAATGGAAAGAAACTTCCTGAGATGTGGTGAGGAATGGCTTAAATACACCTGACTGCATCCACTGTAGTGCAACCATTAATAGTGAGTTCTGTCAGGGTTTGGGTGTTTCTGATTTGAAGAAAAATATAAAGCATATAAAAGCCAGAAGAACTTAACCTGTATAAAAAAAAAAAAGTATACTTTTTTTGGTGAATTTAGTCTGCATACTTCAGAGTTACTGAATAATTGAGATATTACTCTTTCTATGATGATACATGGTCTGGAGTTTCCATCGACCTGCTGCATGGAGGCCCCAGGAAGAAGGTGCTGGCATATGGATGATTTTGAAAGCTTTACTTTTAGAAAGTGGAAAAGTGTATGGTTACTAAGAAACAAATGAGTTTATTGTTGAAAGGAGGCAGGCAGCTGGCAACTTGTTCATTGGATGTGAGTTGTGTTCTTTCTTCCTTCAAACACCATACTATCAGTGCTTGCAATACTTGGGAAACATGTACATATTTAAAATGAAACTGTCTATATATTAAATGAAGTAGAATGCCCTAATACCCAAAGCTAGATTTCTTACCTCATGGGAAAAGTCGTGAAAGCTCTGTAGGAACTTCCTGTTACTATACAAATAGATGATTTTTGCAGTAACAGAACGCCCACCTTTTGACCCGTGTTATCAACCCTCCTGTCCTCCCCCACCCTAAAAGAAAGGCCTTCTTTACAATGCTAAAGTACTTGATAGAACCAGTAAAGATTTTTTAAAAGGTAAGAATGGTCTGGAGTTTGAAGGTCATTTTCACTGCTCTGCAGCACAGTCTGCAATTTGAGTTTATAAGCAGGTTTCAGGACAACTTAATATCCCAGGAATTACAGCCAGTCCCTGAGATGTTACATGCACACACACACTCACACACACATACCTAGGCACCATCCTCAGTGGCAGTTGAAGTAGTAGGTGGCAGTGTGCCTTTAAATTCTAGCCTAAATGTCCAGCCATGTACAAATACAGTTAAGTTGGGTTTGGTCTTTTTATGTGTAATCCCACAAAATTGAATATATTCCCCAACTATTTATTGCCACCAATTATGCTCCAATCTAGAAACTCTCTTGACACTTCTCTAACCATATGTAGCTATTAAAACTGTATCTTGGAAGGCAAGGCAAAAAAGAGACTTTGGAATTTTGCAGGGAGTATTTGAGATACTTAGATGGTGATAGGAAAGATGGAAATACTTTCAAAGTTAAGACAACTCTGGTGAAGTATTTTAAATCACAGGTTAAACCACCAAATTGTCAAACCATTTAGATGACTAAATTGAGATGGAGTTTCCAAGTTAAAAAAAAAAAAAAATGTAGTTTCTGGCCTAGAACATTAACACCACCATTTTCTCTCTCAAAAAAATTCATAAATGTAAACAGTATACAGAGTAGCTCTGAACAACCTGTACATCTTTTTTTTTTTAGTTTTTAAAAATAATTATTCATTTGTTGAAATATCTTTATTTTATTTATTTGTATAGAAGAACTGGGGTACAGGCCAGAGGCGGCAGGGGCTAAGAGGATTCACCAGACACAGAGTGGGGAGCAGAACAGGCAGATCCACTGAAATACACTGCAAAGGGGACGAGCAGGCAAAACAAGAGAGGGATCTCAAACTCAGGCCAAAAATGTGGGCCCTCATGGTGCTAGGGCTGAGACTTAATCCCTAGGCTACCAGGGAGGCCTCTGAAAATCATTTGTAGATTGGGCCATATTTAATTTGGATTTCAGACTGTAGCATGTTCTCACCTGTAATCACTATTTATAAGTTCATCCCATCAAGACTCATACAAAAGTTACACTTTAAGTTGTGTAGTATCATCAAATTTTGTAAATTATGTGGCCAATTGTTGGCGGAACTGATTTCTCCAAATTTTATCTAAGAATAAATGAACTTGTCATAAAGGTAAAAATTGGGGAGAGTAAGAAAGACAGATGTGTCTGGTGTCATATTTCAGTATCATAAATCTGAAATAAAATATAAAGTGAAATTATAAAATAATGAGAAAAACATTTTCACAAACATGCCAAATTTGTGCATCCAAATGAATGTTGTCAAAACCAAAAAGTGTTGTTCAAAGTCGTCTCCTTAAAAGCTGCACCCGTATCAGACGCTGCCATTTCTCAGACCACTGTGGTCATTCTCTTTGAGAGGACTTTCAAAACCCATAAAACCATCTGAACCTCCTCAATGGTAATAAATCACAAGTCTATAAGATGAAATGTTTAGAAACAGGTAATCATAATTTTAGATCAATATTTAGTGAAAGGCTGGATGTTTAAGCTGAGTTCTGCTTCAGTAAAAAAAAAATTTTTTCAAGTGCTAACTCACAAGCAACAGGCACTTTGACAGGCACAATTATAAAATAACAAGTTTCTTGTCTGCTTGTAAAGTAATTAAAATGTTCTTTGAAATCAAGGGGTTTTTTTCTATTATCAACTTTATTGGGGAATGATTTGTGTGCAGTTATCTGCATTCATTTAAAGTGCACAATTCAATGAGTTGTCACAGTTATATACACATCCCTGCAACAACCATTAAAATCAAGATACAGAATATTTCCATCACTCCCCAAGGAGTCCATATTCTTCTCTGCAGCCTCAAATCCAGCTTCAAACATGCTTGGAACCATAGCAGCCATGCTGGAATAGGCCTGTCGAGGCTCCCAAGACTACTTTCACTAACACCATATTTAGGCACTGAATTTAGGATCAACCATAATGACAACACCTAAATATTCATATTTAATTAGTAAAACATTCCGATTTCAAACAGTTTGTCATAAAACTCAGAATTAGCTTCCCAAGCCTTACTTTATCCATAAAAAATGACACTTTATGATGCAGAGGCTGTGACAATTAGGCTGTCAGCAGGGACTGGAAAGTCCCAACCTTCACAGAGTAAAGGAGGGGAGAGAAGTATCTCTGCTAGCAGATTCTAAAAGGGTGATGGCAGTCGCTAGCTGAATTTTCAGGTCACTGAGAAATCACATGTTCAGGTTAGGTATTTCCTATATAAGGTGGTCACACAAGCTTGGAAGACTTCCTTTTACAACATGTACAAAGCACTCAGTTTAAATAACCAAAGCCATGTCGCCTATTGTCCAGTAGGAGAATGCTAATTGTACTTTGGCTACTTGAGCAGGAGAAGCAGTCAGAATACTGATTTGTAACAGCCTCAGTGAAGCCCAGGGCACTAAAATGAATATTGTGGGAATTCATGCAGGGTTAAAGCACTCATCTATAATTTGCTTAATATAAGAAGCAATCTAATTTCATAAATTATTAAATTTAAAATCTTAATGTCCAAACTACTCCTTTAATATAATAAAAGTAAATCCATATGTTCTCTCATGTCAATCACAAGGACACAGGATTTCTCAAGGACATTTCAGTTCAGATAAGGATAACTACAGCTTTCCAAGTGAAAGCATTTTAACTGGTCTTTGTTTATTATAACACAGGAATGCACCCCAGTGTAGTGTTCAAGAAAATGTCAATATTTAAGACTTCACAGGATTCTATTTCAAGATTTCTCAAAAATAGAGTTGAAATTGAGGATGATGCATTTCTTCATGTTCAAAACAAAGAATGAAGCTAACATTTGGTAAAAGATAAAAAATGCTAGAAAAAATAGGCAGTGTAACTCAGTGTTTTAGCCTCGTTGGCAGCCCCAGTCACATATCACCATACAGGAAATGTTTGCATCAAACTTCAGGTTAAAATGATATCTCACAAGCTTAATCATAAAAATAAGGAAAATTCCAAATGAGTTTGTGTAACTGGCATTTCGGCTTTAAAGAAATTACTATTTTAAAAGTTAAAACCTCCTTGAGTAACTATTATTTTTAAATACTTTCTGTAAGAAGTGCAAAGTTAGTGTCATCCTTTAATGTGTTAAAAGGATCTTGTACAATAAAATGATTTTGTGTATTTTTAGCTTCAATATAAACAAAAATAAAGCATTTACTTTTTGCCCCAAAATGTATGGCTGCTCAGACTTAAGGTGTTTTGTTCCTCCTTTTCCAATGCAATTATTTATAGCCACCTATTATTAATAAATAATTATGAGCAACAATGGGCTTTCCACTACAATTTAATCAGCAAAAACAGTTAAGAGCTACATAATCCACTATATTTTGAAAAGTACATGAGAATAAACATTGTTAATACCATTCTAATTTTTATATTTGTAATTAAATAAAGTTGTGACTATTAAATATTTAAAAATTGAATATACATTCATAAATAACTGAGATGATAACATGTAGGAATGAGTATACCAGAGATAAAGTTATAGCTCATCTCATTGAGAAAACTTGCAGAAATATCCTGGAAATTATTTGTTCTTCATTGCACACCTAAAGTATGATACATGTTGTACAAAAAACAGTTACAATCTATGAGTCCTGGAGAAGACTACATAACTTGAAGTTAAATTGGTCATTATTGAACTGGTATAATCTGAGTATCAACTGACATTTTAAGAGCTACTTTGTGGGAAAAGATTTTAAAGCAATTAGCTTCCCCCTAACAAATTCAGGTTCCTGAAGTTTTATCTTTGTATTTAAATGATTAACGTTAACACTTAGGCCACCAGAGCATAGATTAGTATATCAGAACAATTTGACTTTCTGTCAAATAACTCACCTGCAAGTCCTGGCATAATTATTTTAAGTGTCACTGTTCATATAACATTTAAACATTGGTTAGATAAATAGACAATATAAAAGGTAGTAATGTATCTGAAAAAAGATCTGCAACCAGTATATACAAAATTTCCTAGCTCAATAATAAAAACACAAATGATATGGACTTACATCAAACAGGAATATTATAGCTGACGAAAGTCAAAAAGACTGACACCACCAAATCTTGATGGGGATGAAATGAAAAACAACTGGAATTCTCATACATTGCCAGTGGGGGTGTAAAATGGTACAGTCCTTTTAGAAAAATGCCCTGAGTTTCCTCATAAAACAACTATCCTATGATACTGAAATTCTATTTTACAAAACACATGCTCACAAAGATGTTTACGAATGATGGCCTAGCCACACAATGAAAAAAAGAAGGCACTATTGACATGGGCACCATAAATAAATCCCAAACACATTATGCTAAATAAAGTCTTACACAAAGGACCACACACAGGTATCCCCCACTTTTCAAAAATTTGCCTTATGCCACTTTGGTTTTATGAAAAGCCTTACATTACTATCTGTTCTTTTACTGAAAGAATTTACAAGAGGATTTTTTGCTAAAACTACCATTCAGCATTTTCTTATGAAGATACTGTCGCAGCAGCACGGCCTGAGCAGAAGGGGCAGCATCTCCAAGGGCGATGCTCTGGAACTACTTCATGAAACAGCCTGTGTAGTTATTGTCACTCCTGCTTTATGTTCTTGTTTAGATTTTTTATTATTTGGTAGGATTTGGAAGGGTTTTTTATGGGCCTGGAAATACTCAGAAATATTCCCATAAACTTTAACAAATTCTTCTTAGCAATTAGGTTAACGAAGTTCACAAAGTTTCTGAAGCTCTACTTGCACATAGTGAGGGAAACTGGTACTTTTCTTCATCCATCTATCTCTCTCTCTATCTCTCTCTCTCTCTCTATCTATCTATCTATCTATCTATCTATCTATCTATCTATCTATCTATCTATCTGTCTGTCTATCTATATGCTTAAATGGTTAGGGGCAATGTGTACTTAAGCCTGCAGCTTTCTTTGTAAATACATCAAAAATAAGGATCTATAGTCAGATATGAGAAAGGCAAGTACAGTAAAGAATTAACTGCAGAATCTACGTGGTGTATATATGGATGTTCACTGCACAATAATTCCAACTTTTCTGTATGCTTAAAATATTTCATAAAATATTAGGGGAGAAAAAGCATTGAGTAAAGAAAAAGAACAAGGTTAACAAAAGCCAATTCTATAACATACTTAAAAAAAAAACAGAAGAAAGACTTCTTGGGTAGGTAAAGCTATGTCAGCACAGTTAAAGGAATAAATGAAAATTAAACCAAAGTTCAACAGCTGAGTCAAGCAAAACTGAATATAAAGGTGGTGGTTTTTTTTTTTTTGGTAGTTATACATATGGTAGAATTATATATTTTTTCATTTTACTGTGATAAGGATTCCATAAGATCTTCCTTCCTAGCAGACTTTTAAGTGTGCAGTACAGGATTAAATGTGTATTATAGCCAAAATGCTGTAAAGCAGGTGTCTACAACTTATTCATACCTAACTGAAACAGGGTTAAAAAAAAAAACTTATTTTGAGCTGGCCAATTTGCCAGCAAGGAAATGAAACAGTTCCTTTAAGTCTAGAACTTTAATACCCTAATAGTAGGGTAGAAGAATTTTTATTCAATCCTGCAAACAATTT